CCCGGTGAAAACTAAAATTTCGAATAATGAGTTTCAAAATAGGCTTCCCTACATTAAAATTATAGACGTTAGCTTTTGTGGGGTTGTAACAAAAACACACTTTAAGTGTTATATCGCAAATAGATATGTTTCACTTCTACTAAATTGATAATCAAATATGAAGGATGAAAAATTCAGATCAACAAATTCTTGATCCTAAAATGGATACGACGACATTTTTAGATTATTTTTTATTAATTCAGTCAATAAACAAAACACAGTATCCAACATTCTTTAAGGATGCAAAGATTATCAGTTTTATTTTTGTAACTCAATTTACATATTACTTAACTGATTTTCTGGTCATATAAAAGGTTGATAAGTCGTAAAAAATAATCAATTAAATCCTGGTCTTATGAACCCATTTATTAACTGTTAGTAATTTTATTTTTACTGCATTTTATTTGGGCTTCTAAAATCATAAAAAGTTATAAATTACATTTTCTTAAGTACACATATCGTTCTTTTCACTTTGTGAAGACAATGCATTTATAACGCGTTCATCCAATAAAACGGAGTTTTTAAATTGTTATTGCTGCAAAATTGACGCCATATTTTTTAATGAGTTCAATGTTTTGTTTTCGTTTTACTTTTCAATAAAAATAATAAAAAACATTTCGCTTCTTCTTTCTCCTCCTCCTTTTCCCGCTCTTGCATGGATAAAGACCCACTTACTGTTGTGCTGGGCATTTTGCATGGAATGCAGTGTACATCTTCAAACTGCTCAAAAATATCCCAAATCTTCTGAGAAAACATCCAACGCTTAGAAAAACTGAAACAGTTCAAATTTGTGTCCTTGTGACTTACGATCTCCGAAAATGTCTCTCGTCAGACATTGTTTTAAAGTTACTATTAAAAAAAACGAATTCAAAACTCCCGTAACGGAGGATGTTTCTATTTTGCCATATCCGTGAAAGAAATGTTATTGTTATTCTAACATTTGCATTCGTTTCTGTTTCCTTACTCTGTGGCTTAATCTTGTTTTTTCAATTCCAGTTTAGATAGACACATAAATGTTGCAGTCCACACACACTTAAAGATGGTCAATGCTATAAAGTATCGACATTTCTGTTTCTTTTATTTCCAGGTTTTTGATACAAGTTAATATCTTTCTAATTTTCTTCTAAGTATTTGATACCAAATTTCTATTATCATAAAACTGGAAGAACTTTTAGAAAAACTTGGACGTGTGTGGTCATCCATTAATTCATTCATAAAATGATTTTTATCTGAATAATTTAATTGATAAATTGATAAATATGTATAATGATTAACAGTTATTAATTTTGCCTTTTTTTCTACTTTTCAGACTGAGGTATGTTAGCAGAAATTGTATTAACGTATGTAAACATTAGCATCCATTTTGACGCTACTGACAGCAGAGCAGCAGCAAAAAATGACAGAGCGGAGATGTTTGGAGATTAAGAGGGAAAAAAAAACAGAAATTATTGCTTGGTGCTCTCGACGACATGATTCAGAAACTAATCAAATATATGCAAAAATAAATCATAATTTCACAAGACAAAAAGACAACGGAAGACAAGACGACTGATTCGACAAATTATAAAGACAGAAGACAAAATCATTCATATTTGCTTAAACATCAACATTAGTTAATAAAATGGCGGATCAATGCATTGTCTGAACGCTTTGCCAAGCAGAAATTACAAAACATCCCGCCACTAAATATATGACTTGATGAAGCAACAACAAGGGCGCTTCGCGACCCAACTTCCGGTCATTTACTTCACTGGAAAAACCACTTTTTACCGCCTGTGGTGGTCTTGTGGCAATAAAAATAATGCCAAAATATCTAACACCCAAAAGTGCCTTATTACCAATAACCAGAAAACCTCAATGCTTTTTCTTTTCAAACCAGAGTTGTTGCGTTTTGTATCAGACAACATCCATTCACTTATTCAAGTCACAACTTGAACTCTTTTCAATCATAAATATCACAAGCTTTTCTGAAGATCATCAGGTGTAAAATTACAGTACCTTTCTTTTTTCTTTTTCTTTTTTCTTTTTTTTTTCTTTCTTTTTTCCTTTTCCTTTTTTTTTTTTTTGTATTTTCCCTTTTTTAAATAATTGATGCGTATTTAAGAAACAAAAGTAAAATAAAATATCCCCACATATATTTGGTTTCTTTATTATTAAATGTTCACGTTCACTCATGGTTCGTCTTGACGTTGACACTGTTTTTCTTACATTTTAATTTCATTAACGGATAGAATGCTAGTCTTTTATCAAAAACTGTAATTCTATAAGAACAGGTTTCTGGAATTTCTCAAAAATATCTTCATATAAAAAAGTAGTTATACGAACTCGGTTACATCGATTAAAGCGATGAAAAAATATACAGCGGCACCTGAAAACATATGGTTGACTTTTGTTTTTGTATGTATGCTGTGAAAGTTAATATTCAAAATGTAGTTTTTTTACTTTTGAACCAAAGGAAGTCCTACCTACCCGCCCACACACACACACAAAAAAAACTACGGTTAAAATTGATTTCGAGTCAATCATTCGTATAGATTAATGCGCAAAAAGGAATCCATATTGATGATAAAATCTCGGACCTAAACAAGTTAAAGTCTACAAGGAACAATATATACGCTTAAGAAAATATTGTTGGTACACAAGTAAATAATTGAGAGTGAGGAAAATGTGTATATACTTATATATGCCAGACTATAAGACGCATTAAAGGAGTATCCAAATGTTAGTGTGTGTATGTGTGAGGAAAAGCAGAGAACTGGGGATATGAATGAATTGTACTGGATCAAATTTAATTTTCTTTTATAGATCGGCAAACACAGTAATATCTTTCTTTATCAGAATGAGTTAGCATCAACCAAGCTGCATATTAATTTAATTTAGAGTAACAAAATGAACAATGAGTTGTGAAAATTTAAATGACTGCCACTAAATTCCTTTCTTTTTAGAAATCACATGATGAATCATTTTTTGACGGAGGCTCAATTCTTTTAAAAACATTTCACATCCATTTCATTGACATTGGGCTGTGCAAAAATGAAAAGGTGGCTATTTTTGAAAACATTAAATGTACGTGAGGCTGGATTTTTTTGGCTACATTTTTTTACAGATGTGTTTACTGTTTAGTAGTAGTTGCAGTAGTAGTTGTTGTTGTGTATCATGTAGAATATCATTATCCCCCCCCCCAAACAAGTCTGGGTAGCAAATAAATGTCATAGACAGTAATTACTAATGTGTGGATGTATGTAATTCTAGGTACCTCTAATAATTCGCTGAAAAAGAGCATAGCATGATGAAAAAGGCCCCAAACTTAATAAAAACAAAGTTTTATCGTCAAAACGGCTATGTTATTATTAAGAGGAAAAAACGAAGTATTTTTTAATTATTTTTAAAAAATTTTGACTCCTTTCTAACACGTTCGAAATTTTTGTTAAAAATCTTATTTTTTATGCACCAGTGGTGTAATAGAACTGATAATGGAAATTTAATTAATTAAATTAATTTGGAAAGCTTTGCAAAAATCAAATAATTGTCGGATTTTAATGAAACTTTCAGGACTTATTCACAAATAAAAGATTTTTTTTATTATTTTTAGAAAATCTTGGTAAAAATATATTTTTTACATTTACATTTACCGGCTCGCAAAACGGTTGACTTGCTGTTTTCCTGTTTGTGGAATATGCCCTCGTTAGTGACATAAGAGATAAATCTGGCCATCTCGAATCTGGAATTCCTAAATATGACTCCAGACACACAGAATAATCACCCGGCAGTTGGAAATTATTACTAGTAAGACCCTGTCTTTTCGACACCTTTTCACATATGTAGACATATGATATAGTTTCTCTGTATGGAACACGTGTAAATATGTATATATAATTTTTTTTTGTATGACTTAGCGGCATAAAACTCTCTCTGAAAACAAAGCATGTTTGTCATTCCTTTTCTTTCAGTTATTCTCTTCCGTCCGTGAAATAAGGTGTTATTATATCATGGATATAATAATACTCATAATGGGGGATATACAAATGGGATAATCTTCCTTTCTTCCGTAGCTCACATGTTATCTGGTGTCTTACCCGACGTAATATGAACGTGCAAGCAACTAGTCACCTCGACGAGAAATATTATTTTCCCTCATTAATACTTTTTTTGTGAATTATTTGTTCCCCTTGCCTATACAAAGGCAAATCTATTTCAGCAATTCCATTTTTTCCTAGATGAAATGACTAATTAGTTCATAAACGTGATCTTTATTTTTATCTTAGCTTTACTAGTAATAAAAAAAACCTTGGTGGTGGTGTTAGAACATTTTATTTTTCATATTCAAAAAAGAAAAACAGAGAAATAAAAATTAGGTGAATTTCTTATGAAGAAATTCGACAGAATTTTGACTTTCTATATTTTCAGTTAATTTATCACGGAAGATTTAAGATTTCATTGCATAGAACAGTGAAAAGGTATGCTATCATCCACAAAATACGGTTAAAATTGAAAGTTGAGTTAGCTCTTCTCTCATAGGAACCGGTTGAACAAAATGGATAACATAAGAAAAATTTATTTCGATTTAAACAATACTACGTAACGAAATGACAAAAAGTATTTCCATAAACAGAATCAAAACAGCAAGCTCCAATGGCTAATAATTAGCGGTAAAATATCATTTTTTGTCCAATCAGAAGCACTGACGATTTTCCAGAATCTGACCTCGAGAAGTTTTATGTTTCTCCCTAATATTTTGATATAGTGTTCTCAACATAACTAGTGAGTAGTGACAATAGACTCCCAATTTAACAGATTTGCACACACCATTTACACCAGTCTTAACATTCAGCATGTGACGATTCGTTAATACATCAAACGACTCAACCATAGCATTACTGTAAATGTTTAGCAAACTTTTAAAAAAAATACTTTGATAAAATTCTATCTAAACTTTTATTGACTTTTTCACTATTATTCAGTAAACTTTATAATCAATAATAATAACGCTTTCGCTATTCTTCTTGGCGCCACATGGATTCTTTTTCTTTCTTTCTTTCTTTCTTCGAATGCTCATTACTATCTCTGCTTAATTTCGTTAAGCATATTTAGCTCCCTCCATTTATTCTGCATTGCCAAGAGAGTTTCTTGACACAAGTAGCCGACCATGTAACTATCATACGAACATGTATCGCCTTCAATTCGAAAACTTGATGAATTTCTTTTAATATCTAATAACTGGTAAACTTCACAACGTCAGATATCATAACAACATACCTTCGACATACATATCTATGTTTTCTTTTAACCAATATAGAGCTGTGAGCAAAATCATGGACTCCAATTCATGGTAGAATCTTTTAAGGTCATCTGGCTGATTGCTGACAGTGGGTTTTACTATAATTGTAAACATTTTTTTAGCTGCGCTCATGACATTAAGCTTCGATAAGTTCCCAAAGTTGTGATTTTTCGGTTAATACACTCTTACTCTAACCATTCTGCCAATGTTTATTTTCTCAAAACACAATTATTTTATAGAAATATAAAAAAAAACGATAAAATATGTTAAACCAGATAACGACACCTGGGAGTAAGATCAACTTAGTCAACCACATTAGGTACATGGGATAATTTTCCTTTCTTCCGGTTAGCAGGGCTTGTGTGATTAAACGAATACTATTGAATGCGATTGTCAGTGCGTGCTCCATATTCGTGATCAAAACAAAAACTAAGCTTGATAAATAATAATCCTGAAAATTTATTTTATTAATTAGAATTTTACACTTCGTTTACGCGGTCGAAACAAAGAGATTATATATTTCCGATTTAACTATTTAAAAAAATAAAATCTTGCTTTTTGAAATTTGTATTAATATGTAGAAAACTTTGTTCAACTAGAAATCCCGGACTTTAGAAGAAAGGAGTCATGTGATTTAATTGGTTATATGTTTAAGGGTCGCTCAAAAAGTAGGGTTTGTTCTTCTTTAATTACAACAAATTTAATAGTAGAAGTAAACAAAGCACACCAAAAAAGAACACAAACGTCTCAAGAGTCCGAATTTAGCCTCGATATAGTCTCTTTTCTTCTCAATCATGGTATTTCACTTTTAAATGAGGCCATGTCTACTCGTATCATAGAAGATTCTTGCTTACTTTCGTAGCGTGTGAAAGTTGCCTCTTTCACTTCATCATCAAGCGAGCCAAGGCGGGCTGAGGTGTAATTTGGGGTGAGGCGTGCACTTCAGCAGCAGCAGTCGTCTGTGCTTCTGGGTGACCCGCGTCGTTCCTTCTGTTCTCCTTTCTGCGGGATGGTCAGCTTTATAAACAAGTTTTATTTTTTGTCCTGTCAAAAAAAAAAAAAAAATTAATCTTCCTTCCGTCACTTTCTCTCAGTCTTGCTCTCGTACTTTGAAGCTGACTCCAATTACTGATAATGATCGGTCGAAAGTAAATGTTCCGTATCTAGTTGTCTTACATTTGACTCATATTGCTACACTTTCCCTCTCCTTAAAGAAAAAGTATTGTTAAATATTTATTTTTCGTTCTCCTCTCGATCCTCGCTCGTTACAGCAATTCAGGGTTTACAACATTCATAAAATAATCAACAAGCAAATCAACAAATAAAATTTCAACAATAATAACAAAAAGGAATATCAGTTTAAATAAGAGAAGGAAACAAAAGTTAAAATAACCTTGGGTTCATTTGGTGATATGATAAGATTTTTTTGTTGTTGTTGTTAGAAGTAAATCGAGGAAAGATCTCGTTTTACATGGTGCAGTACAATTCCACTGTGTTGTTATCCACAAATTTCATGGGGTTTTTTTTTGTTTTATTTTTTTGATTTTTCTAGCCGACACCAATACTTCGGATCAGTTTCCAACTGTCCGTTCAATTTCATTGAAGCCTCTCTCGACTTCCTTCATGGACCTATCACGTTATTTCGAGAAATCAATATTCTACTAAGACAGATTTTGTCTGTTTATTCTTTTTCTCTCTCACACTTCTCTTCCTTTCTTAAACATAAAACAAACTTTTCCTCCGGTTCTCCTCGACTACTACTTCTCTCTCTCTTCCTTATCACTTGTCGGTTTTAGAGACGCATGGTCGAGAAATTTACAAAAACACACTTAGCTACACTAATATTTTCACAGATACATATTTTCTGTATTTTTTTCGGAGTCCTAACTAATTACTTCGATATATATATATATATATATATATATATATATAACTCCCTCTGTATCACTGCTCTCTCCAACAGAGGCACAGCGCATTCTTCTTCAGGGTTTTCACGCATCCTCCGAAACATATCGATTATATCGGGCAACGGATATCATACCCTCCTCTAAGTCACTGTCACTCATAGGTTTTCGCATAGGTTTATTTCCCTCTTCTGGAATGTTCCATTCAACCGACCTTTGCACTACGTGTGTCTTTGTAGTTCCACTCGTAAGCTGATCCTTAATTCTATATGAGACTGGCCGTGTTCTTTCTATAATTATAACATGACTTCCATCTTTTATCTAACGTATGCCTTCTCCAGTGGTTCTTAAAGTATACTGGTTCTCCTATTTCAAAGCTAATTTCTTTACTCTTATTTTTCGCATATTCTTGTTGTTTTTTCTTAGATTCAGATACGTTCGCTTTCATTCTAACGAAAGCTGTGTTGTTTCTGGAAAACTATTTGGTGACATTCATCTCCATAATAAGGTCGTCTAGATTTTAAAATATTATCTATTGTTAACACTACATCTCTATTATATATTAGTTTAAAAGGCGAAAACTTTGTTGTCTCGTTTTCATTGAATTTGATCGCAGCTAGCGTATGATTCAAGTATACATCCAGGATCGTTCATTATCGGCTACTCTCTTCGTTAATAAATGTTGTGCATCGTGTGATGAAGTCTCTCCACTTTTCCGTTACTTCGAGGACGGTAAAACGAAGTAGTAACGTGATTGGTCCTCAGCTTTTCCAGCGCTCCTTTCATAATGCGATTTACATTTTCAGTGCCGTTATCTGAAACTATTTGCAATAGAACACCGATACGAGGAAAAATTTAATCTATCAATGAATGATCGATGACTTCACCTTTTTTTCTTTTGTAACGACAAATGCCTCAGGCCATCCTCTATATAAAATGATAAAACTATGTATTGATAGCCTGATAATGAGCAACGGTAAGGTCCCGATACATTCACTGCAATCTTAGCAAATGGGGTATGGGGGGGGCAGGTCGGTTTCCTGCATTCTAGGATTTACCGTCGACCAGCGGATTTGCGTATCGCTTAGTCGGTGAGATCGAAAATTAAGGGGCTTTTCTATCTCCTTTCCTGCCACTTTGTCAAACTGAGTTTGTGTCAGGCATGCACCATTAGCTGAATTCGAAGCGTCTGTATAGATTACTTATTCAGATCCGGGTAAACGAGCATAGATACTGAACTAAGTTTATCTTTTAAAACAGTGTTTCTTAAACTATGGGTCTCTACAAATTCAAACATTTGAATTTCAGTTTATATGTTATTTCACAAACACACAATATTTAACAGGATGCGCCAAGCACGCGCTGTGGTAATAAAATGCGTGTGCGGCGCCGTTGCGACGAGTCCAGTAACAACGGAGGTTTTTTCAGTGTAGTTGGTTAATACCTGAGGTCGCCAAAAATCTAGTGATGAAAAATGGGGTCATAAATGAAAAAAGTTTAAGAAGCGCTGTTTTAAAAGATCAACAGCTATTCATCCACTTGAACCTGACATTCCTTCTTGTTAACTGAATTAGAGAGTCTGTATGTTCCGAAAAATTCCTAACAAAGCGCCTGTAATATGAATACATTCCAATAAACTCACGAAACTGTTTAAATGTCTTGGGAATAGGTAATGTTTTTATTGCTGTTACTTGATATTATCAGGCTTAATGCCGTCCCTATTTACGGTAAAAACTTAGTAATGTATCTTTTTCATAAAAAAAAAATATCCACATTTCGCTAGCTTTAACTTAAACTTATGTCTACGGAGCTGGTTAAATACATTTTGTAGAAGCCTTAAATGATCTTCATTTATCGCGGAGAAAATTAAAATATCGTCTATATACGCAGTTGCATACTTTTCCCTCCCATCTAAAACAACAGACATTCATTCCTGGAAAATACTAGGCTTGTTTGTTAATCCAAGAGGCACGGAATTAAAATGAAAAAGGTCCCCTGTGAGAACAAAAAGCTATTTTCTCCTTATCTCAGTCATCTATCTCCATTTGCCAATAACTCGATTTCAAATCTAATTTAGGAAAATACTTAGCGCCACCTAAAGTTGCTAATATTTCATCAATAACCGCTAGTGGGCATGCATTACTCTGAGTTATTTCATTTAAAGAAAGATAGTCAACGCAAAAACGTTTCGTTCCATCCTTCTTCTGGACTAAAACTATGGGAAAAGGCCAAGGCTTTCGTGATTTTTCTATCAACTTAGCATCCAACATCTCATCGATGACCTTATGTACTTAATCACGAAGCTTCAAAGAGGTACGAGTTCTTCTTAATTGGACGGTGGCTATCAGTATCGATCCTCATTTTCACCATATCAGTTCTACCGAAATCTTTATATGTAGCCACAAATAAATCCTTATTTTTTTCTAATAACTTTTGGATGGGAGCCCTAAATTTACTGGGTGCAACGACATTACTGATACTGTATTATTACTACCACTACTACAACCACTGGACACTATTTACATTGACAGCTGGAGAAACCCTACCCACTACACATCCTCGTCGAAGTCTAACGGTTTGATTTGTATTGTTAAACAACTATTCGTCCTTACTAAAGCATTCGTAACTGAAATACCTGGACAATTAAGATGTCCCGAATCTATCTGTTCTATGCAATGCGGTTGTTCTTTCTCTAATTTATTCCTAATTCAAAGTAAACATAAAGTGGCAGTCTGAGGCCTTAATGTGGTATCGAAGGTCACCCACGCTATATACACTAAGGAAATCCACGTATGTATCATTGATGTGCAAAGCTCCTAAATCGTAATAAATACATGCGCCATTTTCCTGCAGCCAATCACAACCTAGAATAATATTTCTGTTTAAATTTCGAATCACATAGAATTCGTGTTTGGTTGCAAGGCGACCTACTCGAAAATTTATACTCTCATACTCGTCGACCTTCAAGTATGTATGTTTGTAAGTTTATTTTGGTACCTCTATGAGATCGCTGAAAAAGAGCATACCATGACGAAAAAGACGCAAAACATGACGAAAACAAAATTTTATCATCTAAATGTTTATGTTATTATTAAGAGGAAAGATCAAAGTATTTTGGGGGTATTTTTTACATTTTTAATCGTTCTTAGCATGTCCAAAATTTTCGTTAAAAATCTTGTTTTTTTAGTCAGCAAAATTAACAGATAATCAATCATGTCAACCATTTTATAAAAAAAAAAATGAAAATCTCAGTTTGAAATTCTTTTAAAAATCAATTATCATTTTTTCAAAACTTATTTTAAGAAAATCAGAAATTATAATGTTTATTTAATATATTTTGAAACAAAAAAGATGTAGTTTGAAAATAAAACAAAGCAGGGCATAACAGACAGGTGATGAAAGACAATTTCATGACGTATTGACAGCTTACGTGAGGATAATTTATTCTACGGAAGGAGAGAAGTGAAATTATTTAGATTTAAGTGAACAAATTATTTACCTTGTTATTTTTAAGAAAAACTTTCAGCGCTCTAATTTTTTTTTTTTTGTTGTTCTTAGATTTCCCCTTTACGTTTACGATGCTTTATGGAAAATATATTATAAAGCAATTAAAATAAGACTGTTGAGAGTGAGATTAAATTTCATAAGAAAGGTATCTAATTAATTTATAGGTACGTTTCTTATGAAATTTTATCAGAAGTGGACATAAAATACTATAATTTTATGTACATTTATTACATTTTACTGTGTTATTTGTATTTTCCATTCATTTTATTATTATTTTTTTGATATTTCATTTATGGAAAAATGTCATAACTGAGATTAATATAAAAATAAGATCATATAAATTTCATAAGATGATACTGATAATTGTAGGTACCCTTTTCAGTTGAAATTGAAAAATCAAATTAACTTCTTTACACGTGTTTCGCAAAAATAAAGGCCTTAACAGCGGAGAACAATGCTTAACTCAAATAACGCAACTTAATTTTATTCTTACTAGTCTTCCGTACTTTATAATTACAGCCATATTATAAAGCACAAAATTACATTTCTTAATTACTGCGGGTTTTCTGATTGGTCAAAACGATACAATTTACAACACGCTAAAAAAAAGATCTATCTTAAAAGGATATTTACGAAACTGAATGAGGCTTTTAACTAATTTTTCTATTTTAACAGCTTAAATGTAAAAATCAGTTATAATTAAAGAAATAACAAATAATCGTACTAAAAATTCAGTATTTAAGTTAAATAATAGACAGAAACTCAATCCACGTGACGTTTTTTTTATTGCACGCATGATACTTTCGGTCTACCGTAGATTTGATTTGCATCCGTATTATTGACACAAATTATATTTTTTTATATACTGGTGTTCGTTAGTTTGTAAGAAGCCTTGGAAATTATAATCTGTAAATATATATCTACTTAATAACAACATTCATTAAATTGTACAAACTTTTCTCTAATTTTAGAAGAATTAACAACATTTAATGTAAAAATAATAAAAATTCAGAAATAACAAATAATTGTTTTAAAAATTCATTTTTCATCGAAATATCTTTTTACTTTCAGACAATATTGTCCATGTTCATTAAAATAAATAAAAGCTTTTGAAATTAAATAATATTTTTGTTTTATTGAGTTTTGTATGTTACAATTCAGAGATGATTTTCAGGTAGGGGTGGTCCAACTAAAAAAAAAAAAATTTGATTTGGTTTCCTCAGTCTTGTGCTTTTAACTACTATAATCACTAATCTGGCCAAAATTGAAATTACAGAGTTTCCGTACAATTAGTTAGGTGTGTGTGTGGGGGGGGGGTAATACATATGAAAAAAAAATTGCCATGACTTTAAAAAAGGAAAACATATTTATAATAAGTTCCATCA